TTCACACCAAATATTGTAAATAAATTGTGTGGGACAACTGTGGTTCAGGGGGCAGAGCAGTTATCTGCTGAACATCAAACCCCTCCAACATTACACACATACCTCCTGGAGTATCTAGATTAGGCTTCATGTGGATCATGTGTGTGGGACTCTCCCTGAGGGGATGTTACCTACTGTGCTGGCATTCTGCAATAATTTTTAATGGGAGTTTAACATGGTAGTGTGAGTATAATGCCCACCCTAGGAGAAATGATTGAGAAGTATTTCTGTCCAGATGGCCGCTGGTAGAGGTAATACATGTTGCCAGGTTTTTTCACTATGTTACAGGCAGCATGGTGGAGGTCGGTGTCTCGTTTAGCCTCTTCTAAAACCTAGAAAGACAGAAGAAAAATGTGTACTGCTCTGAAAGTGTACCCAGGTACTAACATGATTTCTTTTAGATTTTTCTTTTTACCAGTGTTCCTTTTCCAAATAGCGTGTGATACAACAATATCAGTATAAACTGGTCAGATCTAAACATTCCCCCGTGAGATCTTGTTTGCATTTTAATCTTGTGTAATGCATCCCAATCCACAATCTCACAGCTTTGATGGGTGCCTTCTCCCAGCTGTGAATTTCAGATTTTTCCATACATGATCTGCTGGATCAAGTTCAGGACTCATAGCAGTCACTTAATAAGTGCCTTGATAAGCTGCTGATTTCACTGCTCCCTGCACAGATTCAAGGAACCCAGTATCAGACATAGCTGATGTTACTGTACAAACCTGAGCCTCCTCCATGCATCATGAACACAGAACTGATGTGAGCAAAAAAACCTCATCATGGGTCAACATTCATTTTAAACTCTAGTCAGCTTTACGTTTCTCTTTTAAAAGTGGCCTTGTAGTGGGTCTTTTTACATGGAGTCAGTTTTGTGATGTATGGTGCGACTGGTCATGGATGGATCTTGATCCTGGATGTCAGATATTTTGACATTTAAGTCGTTTCTTTTCCCATCATTCCATCTGTCCAATATGTGGTCAGTCCTCCTCCACATCCAGGCAGGTCGGCTACAGCCCCATGAACCTACAACTTCATAATAATCTTATCGACTGTGGTTACAGGAAAATCAAGCTGCTTGGAGACAGACTTGTAGCCTTTAACTTGACCATGCATGCTAATTATTTTCTTCATTGTTCTTTGTTATCTCCTCAGACAACACGCTTTCCTTCATCCATGTTCAGTGTGATGCCATCAGTGATACCAAACAGCACAATGAGGACTTTTCTCCACTTTAACAGGCAGAATATGATATTAACTAAAAACAACAGTGTGTTTCAAATATCACTACAACCTACTTATTTATCACAATTTCTTACGGGTACCAATAATTTTGTTCATGTCATTTCAGAAGATCTTTACAGAACAAACCAGAATTCAGCTCTTTTCACAGCTACTTTGTTTTATTCTTTGGAAAACCAAAGGTATGAAGATGTGGCATTTGTAATGTTCTGTATCATTTATATTCTGACATTTAGTTCTTTTGTCCCGAGTTAAACATTTATTGTACTTGCCAGCAGGTGGCAGAATAAGATGTCTGTGATTTGGTACTCTCGCCATGTAGAAGATGACCTATAGCCAGCCACAGATAGTCTATAGCCAGAGCCTGTGGCAGGCACGTCATGTGTATGTGTGCCCTTGTATTATGATGTTGGTGGCTGTGGGAAAGTCCTGCTGCTGAAGCAATAAAGTGAATGGCTCTACACCATTAATGCTGTCCTTGTCCAACTGGTATAACAAAGAGAAAAAGTTTTAATTTCAACATTTTCATTGTGTGTACTGGTGTTTTTACTGCTGTTCGTACCTTTCTTGCCTGTTCCTGTAGGTACCTGATCTGGTCAGCAATGACTGTCAGTTTGTTGCAAGCATTGGCTTTAATGAATTCATCTCCCTGAAAGAAAACATACTAAATTTAAAATACATGCATATACAAATATACACACAGTATATAAAGAGGTTTGGTGTGGCGGCATTACATCTCTCCTCATCTGTTCCTCTCTTAGCTCTATCTTCCATCCCTAATCCGTGTACCCTCTATGGAGGTGAACAAACACTTAAATGATTGGTAGGCTGGATTGTTCTTTGCCATGGCTGCGCCACGTTTGAGTGTTACCAGTGGAAACACTGTGTATATATCGCCTGGACTCCGCATCATCTACATGACGATGATTTGCTGTATAGAACCCGATAGTGTGAATATAAATTAAGAGTAATCCTCAACCCACACCTTCTGTACTTGTGCTGCCAGAGCCACCAGGTCCATAGGGTCTCCCACTCTGTTGGTCTGGTACGAGCTGACCAGTTCCAGCCCACTTGGGGTGCCGCTACTCTCAACCAGAGTCACTGAAAAAAAACCCCCACACAGCTCCAGTTAACATCACAGTTATACCATAAAGTTACATGTAACCGAATCACCAGGAGCAGTAATACAACTTGTATACTGCCACTGCTCAAACTACTAGCTACAACTGCTGTTACTATCACTGTTACTGTTCCATACCACCGTCATTATTTATAAACAGCTAATTATTCATATATAAAACAATAATGAATCGACTGTGATTACATAGCCTAATTTAACGTTACTTCTTACCACACGAACCCCTTCACCCGAATTATTTTAACCTCGCCCTCTCGCCTCGTTGAATGTGTACACATTTCAACAACCAAAAAAACATGTCTAGTCATAAACTGAATGGGTAAATTAACTATTCTGTTCAGTTGCAATTTAGGCCCACTGTAGTCGTCACGCCATAGTTGCCAGTACAGTCAAGTTGTCAACATGCCACTGTCACACCTGATAATCGTGAGCTGGGCTAACGTTAAATGTAGCTAACTGAAGATATCCATATTAGTACGAAGAGTGTGCTTTATCAGATAACTTTGTCAGAACTATTTGGAGAATGGTCAGGACTATGGAAATGCTTAATACACAGTTTAAGGCAAGTCCTCTCTAAATATGGCAATGGTACCTGTGGCAGTTCTGTCAGGCTGGTTGGAAAGGCTGACCGTCCGGTTCATAGTGTCCGTTTTCAGACTTCACAGACACCCCAAAGTAAACTCCACTCTCCACCTGCTCATTCACTAGTCAGCTAAACACCAGGGCTTCAAGGGGTCCTAAAAGGGTAGTTATTTTTGTGCCTATATAAAAATATATTTCTACAATAAAACAATTCATTCCTATTTATTATGATTATTAATTTATATTTTAGACTGTAATTATGCATGTATAAAGACATTAAATCCAAAGTTACTATGGTAGTTTTACATTTTATTGTCATGACATTCGGGATTTGTTTTAGGCATGCTAAAGACAGCCCGCAACAGAGAAAATTAACACAAGTCAACATTTTAAATGTTGACATGAGTTATCGGTGAAATATATACAAAATGTTAGAGTGTTCAGTATAGCACTATGACATGCTGTAGTCAAGCTTAGTCAAGTTTCAAATCCATTTGTTGTATTGTGATCCCACCATTTTATAGAAAGCATTTAATTTGAATAAAAAACTGCAATTGTGCAAACTAATATTATGGCCGCCATCGACGTGTGTGTGTAACTTCCCAATTAAGGGACTAATCAAAGGATTATTAAATTAAATTAAATTTGCAGTGCAGACTGCTGAGAGTTTCCTGGTGTGTGTGTATGTTAGTAGAGCAGCATCTTCATTCTGTATCAAAAGGTGAAATAAGTCAAAGATCCGATCTAAGCCAAGGGTCCTTCGAGTTCAGTCTTAAATGACTTAAACCACTAACGCTAGAATTTATATTCACATGATAAAACGGAATCGACAAAGAAAAATACAATAGCTTCACCCAGAGCAATACTGGTAAATATACACTGTACAGATTATACCGATCCACACAGGTCACTATTTTTAAATGCTCCATTTTTATTCTATTTTTATCTAGCTTTCTAATGAACATTCCTTTGCCTGTTTGCATTGTTTAGTGCTTGTTTACATTGTTTATTTTGTTATACTACACAGCCTTATGTTGGTATATTGTTTACTTGCCCCTTGCTGTTGCCTTATATAATGACATGTACGTGCACATTGAGAGCTGCTGTACCACAGTCAAATTCCTCGTGTCCAACACACCTGGACAATAAAGCTGATTCTGATTGTGATTCTACATGAGTAAGCCAACTTTAGCTTCGTTGAGTCACAGTGTGCAGATAATGCACACTTGTTCTCAGGCATTACATCGTATAGTCTGCTTAAAAAAAGGAATCTCCATGTTATTGTACTAATGCTCACATTGACCAAAGAGATCACTTTCATTATGAGTAAACTTTTTATGCCGTAAACACCACGGTCTTTGAGTCATATCCAAGCCGGGTATCTTCACTCGCGCTCCAACCGGAACCTGTCAACTGGGCGTGTATTCTGGGACTGGACCCTCCGAATAGGCCCGGCCCGTTCAGTAACCCATCCATCATATACTGTACATATGATATACACTAAGCTCCTTACTTGTGCTGCCATTTCCTCGAATATTTCTGTTGAAACGGCTCTGTGTGACATGATCACAGTGACTTCTCTAGGCCTATGTTTATGCGGGGGATGAGGTGGTGATGATTGTTGCTGCTCAAATCAAACCCCACCTCCACACAAGTTACAGTGTCGGTAGGTACACCCCTTCTCCTCACCGGATCCCTCACTCTCTCTTCCAGGCTCTTGTTCCGCTGCGGAGCCTTAGTATTTTACCACCATGGAGCTCCGCTATGTGCTTATGTTTCCGTGCCTTATTTTGCCACTGTGCACGACGGACAATAACCTGAGCAGCCGACTAGTTCTGGAGCCGTATGATTTCCTCTTCGACTCTGCGGTGGAAGCCTACTATAAGGCGGACTGGCTGTCGGTTATCCTGAACATGGAGAAAGCGCTCAGGAACAAAGCTACAGTCCGCAGTGTGAAGGCTCAGTGCCGGCTGGGTTGTGCCAACCAGACCGCTTTCGGTGACCCTTTATCCGGCTTGGGAGTTCCCGTACCGGGAGCCGGGTCTGTGGAGGACCTGGGCTTCTTCCAGAAAATCCTGAAACGGGCGGACTGTGTAAACTCTTGCGAGATCCAGAAACTCGGTTCGCCCACTCTGCATCAAGTCAGTCAAGAAGTGGAACTGGAGTTCCAGAAGAGGACCCCATATAATTACTTACAAGTCGCCTATTTTAAGGTACAGAACCAAATAGTCCACTATAGCCTATAAACTGTAAGTTGAGCTGTAAGTGTGAAGCTGCGATCAGCGCAGCTCTTTTGCAAAAGTGCATCACAGTGCACAGATGAGCGTCTCTAGTGTAAACAGAAGAAAGTGAAAACCTTTACAAATTTTAATAGTGATCCCATTCATGCTTGAACCCCAGAGCTGATGCGGAGCCAGATACTGTAAATGCCCCAACCCCCCAAACCAAGCCCGCCATGCCACGTCTTAAGGTGGAGTCAGCTTCTGGAGTTGTGGAGGACGCATATGTTTGGGATCCAGCGGGTTAAAGGCTAAACTGCTGCTTTCAAATACCCCTGATAATCTCACAATTGTCAAAGACAAAGTAGCTAATGCTCTGCTGGCCCAGGGTGCTTTTAGCTGTGAAGTAACGTCGGAAGTTCTTTAGCCTATTTGGACTTTATACATAGAAGTTGTTATAAGCTTAAACATTGAATTCACTTTGTCCACCGAGCAGTTTTCATATTCACAGTTTTGGATTGTGTACTGGAAAGCGTGACTCTCAGACAGACCTTGAAAGCAGCAACATAATGCCAAACGCAGGAGAAGAATTTTACCACTGTGCATTTCATAATAATTCTTATCATAACTGTGGCTACAAAAAAGCACAAAACAACATCATCAAATTGGCATGTTTGCAGATAGAGGCGTTGATCAGCTATGACTCCACTGTTAGGCTGCTCACATTACTGACTTTGACAGTAACGTCAGCCCCTGCTGATCAAGCCTACTGTATCACATCTCTACACTAGTTTAATGGTCACTGACCATTGCAAAGGCTACTTTATGGTTTGTTTTAGTTACAAGTCACTGTAGTTTACAGAGAAAATTGAGGGTTGCTGTGGATTGTGTAGAAGCAAGTAAGTGGTTACACTTCCTACAGATCACTGTTAGGTCAATATAACTCCCAAGTTGCCCATGACTCTTTAATATTAGCTCTTTGAAACCAAGCATATTATTTTGAAGCCAGGGACTGGCATTCAACCTACAATATCATATAGGGTTCATCAGTGTAGCCAAGAGAGAAAAAGATTGAAAATGACAGCCTGATCCTGTGTTATCCTTATTAAAGCTGCACTAGTCAGTATTTTATAATAACAGGACTTCAAATTACTATATGTAATACATATGTAGTATCAAAGGAGTCACTTGTAGCTGTGGACCCTCAGAAAATGTCACCAACTCTCAGGTTTCCCTTCAGTTTTTTTTAGCATCTTTCATTGCTTTTTTGTGGCCCTAGCTTTACTGTTTCACTCTCACCACTTTTATAGCTTTCTTCTTCTTCTTGTTTAATGGCAGATGGCAACCCACTTTAAAGTGCATTACCACCACCTAACATGCAGTGTGGACCAAAATTATCTACCCAAACCCACAGAAACATGCCTATGTTGTTTAATGTCTGCTCAACATGTAATTAAATAAGTGTTTTTGTACTTTCAGCTGCTCCCAAGTGGCTAAAAATCACTTAATTCAGTTTTTCCTCTGTAGACTGTATGGGAGGCACCTATAGGTAAACACGTTTATTGCACAGCACTGAGCAATCCTGTGGCACATAGATAGTCTGTAGGTTTCTGTACAGGTCATTTGTACATTCACAAAACCTCTAATCCGAGAGGACAAACTGAACAGCATGTGTTTTCTCAGACCAATAAGCTGGACAAGGCGGTGGCAGCTGCCAACACTTTCTTCCTGGCGAACCCAGATCATGTGGAGATGAGGCAGAACCTGGAATACTACAGGATGATGGCAGGAGTACAGGAGCAGGACTTTAAAGATTTGGAGGCCAGACCACATATGGTGAGGGCAAATTCCTCTGGCATTTTTGATCTGTTGATCGTCCGCCCAGTCTTTGGAGTAGGCTTCTTGTCTGACATGTTAGTTACATTTTGCTCAGATTTAGGAGCTTTTTGTTTATTTTATTTTCGTTTGTCATACGATCCATTTAATATAGTAAGTGTTACCTGCGGTCACTGCAGCTGGCCAACTAGACAAAGTTTTCAAATTGTTTCAGTAAATTCTAAGTCTGGGGAAAGGTGGCTTGAACTGAAAAGTGCATGTCTGTGCCTACCTGGCTAACTTAATACAGTTTGACTAGAACACTTGATATCTCACAGCTCGAGTAACAATACTCTCTCCTCAGGCAGAGTTTCTGTCGGGGAAGAGCTATTACAGCGACGACTCATTCATTCTTGCGGCTGAACACTTTGAAGTGGCTATAGATGAGTACTTCGCAGGTGATAAGGAGTGCAGAGCTCTGTGTGAGGGAGCCTACAACTACGATGGATACAACTACATGGAGTACAGTGCAGACCTGTTCCAGACCATCACAGGTTAGTCTGTACGCCACTGGGCTTTTTTCATGCAGAAATGATTCATATGAAAGTTGAGAATTTGATGACCATTTTCCTTTGCGTTAATGTGACTGTGTATGTCAGACCACTACATGCAGGTGCTGAATTGTAAGCAGCACTGCTCTGTGGAGCTGGCCTCGACAGCTGGCAGAAACAAGCCCTTTGAGGACTTCCTCCCCTCACACTTCAACTACCTGCAGTTCTCCTACTACAACCGTGAGTCTCACAGCCCTTTCGTCATCAGTCTGCGCCTTTAGCTTGCCTTTATCTACTGCACCTAACTGTAGGTTTACAGCACCATTGATTATGCAGTGTCGGATACAGTATTTGGTGAATATTTTGGACAGAATTGATATGACTCAATGACAAGAAGTTACTTTATTTCTACAGTCTATCTAGGGTGTAGATTTAGAAAATAAGACTTTGGCACCCAAAGTGGTAGTTTTAATAAAAATACTGTAGCAGACAGCAGTGTACACTGTTGCCTGTCCCTGTATCAGTATTCACCACAATCTTTACCTCCGCCAAGGAGGTAATGCTTTTGGTTCCGTGTGTGTTTGTTGGTTAGCAGCATTACGGACAAACGGCTGGCTGGATCATCGTCGTACTTGGTACAGACATTGGTGGGGACCAACCCTAGAAGTATATTAGAGATGACTGAAAAGGTCAGAGTCACAAAAAATCACAGTTCCCATCTTTAACATGGGGCAACATTTAAAAGAGGCTCCACCATCATTCCAGTCCACAAGAAAACCTCCATCAGTAGACTGAACGACTACAGACCTGTCGCCCTGACATCTGTAGTTATGAAGTCCTTTGAAAGACTGGTGTCAGCCCACCTGAAGGACATTGTTGACCCCCTGCTGGACCCCCTGCAGTTTGCCTACTGGGCAAACAGGTCAGTGGACGATGCAGTGAACATGGCACTGCATTACATCCTGCAACACCTCGACTCCCCAGGGACCTATGCACAGGCCCTCTTTGTGGACTTCAACTCGGTGTTCAAGACAATCATCCCGCACATCCTCCACTCTAAACTGACCCAGCTCACTGTGCCTGCCCCACATATCAGCCTGTCTGTTGTATGTTAGCAGTGCATGACATTTGTGTACTGCAGAAAAAGTAAAAAACACACAAAAAAGAAGAAAACTAAGAAAAAGCCGGCATTCGAGAGTGGAACGCACAAAAACATCTGCCTCGGTGGGCGCCACAGTGGGGGGTTGAGCAGCTGGTCCTGAGGTGTAGCCGCAACAACCTGGAGCTGAATACGCGCAAAACAGTGGAGATGACAGTGGACTTCCGGAAGAGCCCCCCCCCATCATACTTGGCAGCACTGTATCAGCAGTAAAGCCCTACAAGCTCCTGGGCTCCACTATCTCCCAGGACCTGAAGTGGACGTCCAGCATCAGGACCATCACCAAGAAGGCACAGCAGAGGATATACTTCCTGCGCCAGCTCAGGAAGTTCGATGATGCTGCTGATACGGGAGTGAATCCATACTTCAACCATTTTATCTCAAGTACTGGCACAGCAGAGGATGTGCTTCCTGTGCCAGCTCATGAAGTTCAACCTGCCCCAGATGCTGCTGATACAGTTCTACAGAGGGATACTTAAGTGAGACACAACTGTGAATTCCATTATTGGGGAAAAAAGGCACCGCTGTGGATTCAAGTTGAATGCATGGTACTTATGGGATGTGTGTTTGCTCTGAAATGCAATCCTATCCATCCACACTCCACATAAGTGCTTGTGTGAAATTCAAATGCATTTATCTGAAGTGGAATGGGAGTCATTCCCTCTCTGTTCCCTTCAGGCTTAGACTCTAATAGCCTGGCAGGTCTTAGGTTCTCAGGCTGCTGGTGGATTTATGCTTCATAGATTGATAATGCAAAAATCATATGTATCTCACAGAGTGCAACACAGAATACACTCTCTCTAGTTTCATACATCTAAATAATCCCAGAGATACAAATAGTATAATAGCCCTCGCCCCAACAAAAATGTTAATTAAATGATCCTACATGGTGTTACAGGTCACTGTGCACCAAGACAACCAGGCACAGGGACAGTTTCTTCCCCCAGGCTGTCGTTCTGATGAACATTTGACCCACGACAGTATGATTAGACAATAACCCTCAGTGCAATACCTGTAAATATATACATTGTACAGATCATACAGACTCGTACAGGTCTTTAGTTTTAAGTACTCTGTTTTATCCCTATTTATTTCATCTCAATGAACATTCCTTTGTTGTCTGCATTGTTTACTGTCTGTTTATACTGCTTATTCTGCATTGCTTGCACTGTTTGTTGCTGCCAATGTTGCTGTTAATACAGCTTATTTTGTTATATTACACAGCCTTATGCTGGTTTATTGTTTGGACATTGAGAGCTGATGTACCTGAGTCAAATTCCTCGTGTGTCCATCACACCTGGCCAGTAAAACTGATTCTGATCTCCATCAAAAGTTATTGAAATCATTTGAAATTTGACACAGTTAGGTAGGGTGGCAATGTCTATTACCAGACCAAATTTCATCCAGATCCACTGCAGATTCTGTATCTGATGGCCATTTGAAATTAACGTTGAAAACCCCCTTTAACACATATTTTCTGCCATAACTTGGCATATAATGAAGATAGAACCCCGAAATGTTCAGGTGAGATGCATAGTGTAACCGCCTATCATACCTTAAAAGATTATCCAGATCAAGGATTTTAGGACACATTTTGTGTTGTTCTGGATCTCATTTATCACAAGAGACCCATTTGCATGAGCGAATGTTGTGCCTTAACAGAGGTACATGCTCTTTCTGAGTGCTCTTAGCTTTTTTTTCAAATCTGAAAGATGTTGTAATCACATAAACATTTTACACATAGTGCCTTTGCTGTGACAATGCATGCTGTCACTTGGTCTTTCCCAGGCTATCAGCTGCCCTACTCACAGCAGTCACTAGCTGGTGCCAACAATAACCGTTCATAATACACAATTAAATGTGCCACAGAATGAGTGAGCATTCCTAAGGAGCTCAGTTTTCAAGTTAAATGATGTTTAACCAATTTTTGGCCCCAAAGAGGGGGAGTATCAGGCCATGCCATCAAAATTCTTCAGGGCTCTAGTTATGTCCAAACAAACCAGCTTTTCTCATCCCCTTTAAAGAGCAGGGTGGAAACCTCACTGACTGATGACACTGATGTCAGGACAAGGAAATATATGAGAGGAAAGATTCTTTCCCCGTATTTTCTTCTCCTGGCAGTTAGGTAAATAGCAGAAATCGAAGATGAACACTGAAAAAATATCTTACAGACTTTTACACTTTGCTCATATTTTTGAATAACAGCAACTCTGGGGATTTTGTCAACCGGGAACCAAATCTACAATGGAAGCAGTTATTGGGACCAAACCTAGTGAAGCGCCACAAACAATTGAACCTACATTTCCCAGAATGCACTCTTTGTTAGAACTTGACTGTTCAGTTATGAATGCCAGCTTACAAATTTGTAGTCTCCAAGAATAAGCTGTGATAACTTGTGTGACATCATCAAGGTTATTTTCTCAGACTTCTCCCCATGGTGAGTCAACTCATCTTCATGTGTAAAATGAGAGGAGTGCCCCTCTGCATACATTAAGGTTTGTGTATTTCTGTAAGTCTTTCAGACCTTATACCCCCTCTTGCATTTGTCCCCTCTGTCCAGGTGAGAAGTATGAGCAGGCCATAGAGTGTGCTAAGACCTTCCTGTTGTTCCACCCTGATGATGAAGTGATGCAACAGAATCTGGCATATTACTCTGCTGTGCTGGGCAAGGACAAGGCAGAAGCCATATCACCCAGACAGGTACAGTAGGTCAAACTTGCACAGGGTCTTTTAACAGGGACTTTTACCACAGAACCTTATAGGGATTGCAGTTATTTTTTAGCAGTGGTATGTTAATCCATACTGACCAACAGGAAATCATTCAAAGAGGGGGGTGGTTCTGGGACTCTGGGACACTGGAACACACTGTTGAGCCTTCTCAGTGTCGTGGACCCAACTCAGCGAAACACCAGTTATTGAGAGGGTGCCCGCCTGATGACCCGGTAGACTTGCCTTCACTCCTACACCCACACAGAACTTGTATTGGTGTTGGTGATAATACAGTTACAGAGTCACTGGAAGTGTTAATAGTCTTCTTTGTTAGACAGTCTTGGTAGAACAGTGTCAGTGGTTGGACAACTGAGCGGACCAGGCTCTCAGGAGTGACTGCCAATACAGGCCAGTTGGACCAGCTGCTAACCAAAAATGGTCAAACCACCATTCCGCGATAGGGTTCGGGAATGCTTTGTGTTAATGGTAGGTTAGGTCTGGAAAATGGGGTTGCTTACTGTGGGGCTCTGAAGATTTATGATGGCATGGCCTGACGCCCCCCTCTTTGGGGCCAAAAATGGGTAAACATCCTATACTGAGCTTCCATATGAATGCTCTCCCATTCTTTGGCACATTTAATTGTGTATTATTGACCGTTCTGCCCCAGGCACTAAACTTGCATATTTTACAGTATTTATATTAGATTAATAGGGTTGTTGGTCAATACAAATCACTCAGAGACTATTTCCCAAGATGCTGATATTGTGGCTTTCACAACTCACTTTTTAGCAGGCACCCATTGTTGGAATAAAACCACTCCAACAGTGTCAGTCAGACACAAAAAAAGGATTTGCCACCCAAAAAACACCTCAAACTATGTGCATGCTGTTTCCTGCATTTATGTCTAATTGTTGTTACTGGTTGTCATGCTTCCAATAGTCATGAAAGTTAACAAGCTGCTTATTATTAATTTATCAACCCTATTTAAAACACATCTTGTTTCGTTTGTATGGAACCTGGTATGTAATGTTAATAACAATCATCACTTTTTACTATTTACAGTGGCTAGCTATTCAAGGCATTTGGATTTTGTAATTCCCTCTATACAGTGAATATTTTATACTCAGGTTCACAAGAAATAGTGCATGTACTGTATATCCTGCTGCACCTCAGACCAAACCTTACGCCAGTCAGCGGGGAGGTCAGACTGTCTGCAGCCAGAGCGGTAAAACCCAGGGCAAAACATTCCAGAGAATCAGATTCGGCATCATCTTTAATGGCCAAGTTTGTCTGAACCGTAACCCACCACAGAACATAAAAAGATATAAAAAGACTACCCCTGCAGTTTGCACAAACTTAAGTACATTCCCCCTTTTTGTTATATTACAGGTAATTCTGCTGCTGACTGTTTTTTTTTTTTTGCTGGGATATCTGCTGCTGTTGGTCATTTGCAGTACTGTCCATGTATACCTCATATGCTATTTGCACCTCATCACCAACGCCCTGGTGACGCTGAACCACCTGACAATCTCCTATTATTGTTTGCACTACTGTCACTAACTGTACTCGGTTTTGAGGCACAGCTTATTGGCTGTACCGTTTAGATTTATCCTAATTATGTTAATCCAGTTCTTATTCTATTCTGTTCTATTCTATTCTACTTTATTCTATTTTCCATCCATCCATTTTTTTCCGCTTATCCGGAACCGGGTCACGGGGCAGCAGTCTAAGCAGAGATGGCCAAACTTCGCTTTCCTTAGACACTTCCTCCAGCTCCTCTGGGGGAATG